TCACCTATGACCGTTTTTCAGACATAGGATTATTGCAGCGTCCCCATAGTCACATGTTCAAAATCAGAATGCTTGGCCACTGACTCATATTTATGACGGTTGCAGTGTCCCCAGGGGTCATGTGATCACCTTTTGTGACCTTCTCACAAGCCAAGTCAATGGGGAAGCCAGATTCACTTAGCAACCGTTAACAACTGCAGTGATTCACTCAGTAACTGGAGCCTGAAAAGTGATAAAATGGGACAAATTTCACTTAACAAATGTTTCACTGAGCAACAAAAATTTGAGGCTCAATTGTGGTCATAAGACGAGGACTATGTATATAATGGCCTGAGGAACACTCCAGAGCAAGCATGCTTAGAACTAGCCAGACAAAATCTTGGGTTATTCGCACAGTTAACGAGAGCGCATATATAGGTACAGGTATAGTATAGGTGGTACCTTGCTCAATAGTAGTAACTGTGAGAGGGATCTCGGAGTCCTAGTGGACAATCACTTAAATATGAGCCAGCAGTGTGCTGCAGCTGCCAAAAAGGCCAACATAGTGCTAGGCTGCATTAACAGAGGAATAGAATCAAGATCATGTGAAGTGTTAATACCACTTTACAATGCCTTGGTAAGGCTACACTTGGAATACTGCATCCAGTTTTGGTCACCAAGATGTAAAAAAGATGTTGAGACTCTAGAAAGAGTACAGAGAAGAGCAACAAAGATGATTAGGGGACTGGAGGCTAAAACATATAAGGAACAGTTGCTGGAATTGGGTATGTCTAGTTTAATGAAGAGAAGGACGAGGGGGGACATGACAGCAGTGTTCCAGTATCTCAGGGGTTGCCACAAAGAAGAGGGAGTCAAGCTATTCTCCAAGGCGCCTGAAGGCAGGACAAGAAGCAACGGGTGGAAACTCACCAAGGAGAGAAGCAACCTAGAACTAAGGAGAAACTTCCTGACAGTTAGAACAATTAACCAGTGGAACAACCTGCCTCCAGAAGCGATGAATGCTCCAACACTGGAAGTTTTTAAGAAGAGACTGGACAGCCATTTGTCTGAAATGGTATAGGGTTTCCTGCCTGAGCAGGGGGTTGGACTAGATGACCTCCAAGGTCCCTTCCATACTACTATTATTATTATTACTATTATTATTACTATTATTATTATTATTATTATTATTATTGGATTCATTTTTCAGAGCAAGATTCTTTCTTAAGTTGAAACTAATAATTCAAATTAAATATGTCAAAATTTACAAAAAAGGCGCATGGAAAACCAAAACCACATCAAGGTCCCGAAGCCTCAGGGTGCTGCACCTCCTCAGATGACGCAAAAGACCAAAGGATGTTGTGTAGCTTTCCCCAAGTGCCTGCAAGTATTTTTAGCTGGAGTTTCACATTGCACCCTGTAATAATCTTGGCTGTTTTGACCTCGAGACATGCTCATTTCCTACAGAAAGCGGAGATTAATGCACAATCTGCTCGTACGGAAAGTCAGTGCCAAGAAAAATCTGGATGCACTTTTCATTCTCTGGGTCCATCTAGTTTTTGAATATATTTCCCCCAGATGACTAAAACAGGCATCAGGTTCCAAGGTTATGCAAAATTGGAAACCGACTTCTGTAAAAGACAGTAGCTTTCCAAATTCCCTCTTGAGGGGTGGTGGTGGTGAAGGATATGCATCATTTCATTCATCACATCCTTCCACTGTTCTGGCTGGAGTTGCAATCCAACATGTCTGGAAGACACCACCAAGTACTTTAGATATCCCAGCTAAGATGGAGGAAGGAAGGCTCCGTTTTCAAGCGCAGCTTGAAAAGAAAAAGAAAAGGTTGGTGGGAGTAAGAGTTCATCACAAGAATGAGGACTGCCTTTTCTCAGGACAATCAGCAGCCTGGATGTCAATCGATTTGCTCAGTTTCACCCACAATCTCATCATCAACGGGTGGAAACTAATCAAGGAGAGAAGCAACCTGGAACTAAGGAGAAACTTCCTGACAGTTAGAACAATTAACCAGTGGAACAACCTGCCTCCAGAAGCGGTGAATGCTCCAACACTGGAAGTTTTTAAGAAGAGACTGGACAGCCATTTGTCCGAAATGGTATAGGGTTTCCTGCTTGAGCAGGGGGTTGGACTAGATGACCTTCAAAGTCCCTTCCAACTTTACTATTATTATTATCACTAGTTGGGCTTTGGTTCCTAGGAGAGTTTCAACACAACTCTTACACAACAGATTTACTATTAAGCTGCCTGATCTTCGCTGATTTTCTCTGCCAGGGACTGCCACCTCCGATGAGCTCCTATTACAGACTTATCATTCCAGCCTTGCTTAAGCCAACCCAGAAGAAAAGAACCATTTCTGAATGACTGTAGATCTTCAGCCTTTTGCCAGGCTTCAACTCTTCAACCAGGACAGTCTTGACAGAGGGGTGTTTTTCCTCGTAAAGGTCAAGAAAGATACAAAAAACTATTTTGAAAGAGTTAATGGCAAACCGGTTGCCTTCCAGTTTGGGGAGCAAAGGTGAGAGCTGGGAAGCCAGGGGACATTCTCATAGGATCAACCAAGAAACATAAAAGGGGTTGCCCCAAAGAAGAGGGGGTCAAGCTATTCTCCAAAGCGCCTGAAGGCAGGAGAAGAAGCAATGGGTGGAAACTAATCAAGGAGAGAAGCAACTTAGAACTAAGGAGAAACTTCCTGACAGTGAGAACTATCAGTGGAAGGACTTGCCTCCAGAAGTTGTGGGTGCTCCAACACTGGAGGTTTTTAAGAGGATTGGACAACCATTTGTCTGAAATAGTATAGGACAGTGGTGGCAAACCTATGGCACACATGCCAGAGGCGACACTCAGAGCCTCTCTGTGGGCACATGTGCCTTTGCCCCAGCCCTGCCTCCCCCATGGCCCCCTCCTTATCAGCAGCCCCCCCAGAGGAGAGTCGCCCCCGGGTGTGGCCTGCGCAGAGCAGAGCAGCCAAGGACATGACAGCCAGGTAGCGGGGACAAGACTCTGCCCTTGCGCTCCATCATGAGCAGATGATGATGCAGGGCGTGGTGGAGGGTGTGGCCACCATGGCGCTGCTGGGCCGCCTGGGCGATCTGTTGCGGTGGGCCGTGGAGATGGGTGGCCCTGCAGGCAGGCAGGGCACGGGGTGGCGGGCAGAGCGGGGGCCGTGTGGTTTTTGGGCACTCGGTCTCTAAAAGGTTCGCCATCACTGGTATAGGGTCTCTTGATTGAGCAGAGGGGTTGGACTAGAAGACCTCCAAGATCCCTCCCAACTCTATTATTCTGTTCTGTAATTCTTTCTATGATTACATGAAAGAAAGTCCAGCATGGCATAGGATCTCCTGCCACGGGCAGAGAGCTGGACTAGAGAGCTGGACTAAAAAACCTCCAAGGTCCCTTCCAATCCGATTATTCTATATTTCTTTTCTGCAGCACAACATTCAGACAAAACCCTGCTCTTTTTTTCTCTCTCTCACTCCCAGATCAAAGGCTTTGGGAAGGGAAAAGGAAACCGGCACTCGAAATGGTTACACACGTGGGTTTGCGACAACGCAACGAGGAGGAGAAGATTGTGGCCGAAAATTCCCTCATCACATATACATGCAGCAGCCAGTTCGACAGCATTTCCAGCAGAGCGAGAGGGAATTGCACCACCTTCTCAACTTACTCCTGCCGCTTGGCTTGCGGGAGGGGACCGAGAGAGAGGCAGTTCCACAGGAATGCAAATCTGAGTCTCAGAAAGCTGCCAACCCTTCTTGTCAGGCCCACACGTTGAAAGGGAACCTGTTAGGAGACTTGCCGGCTGCTGCTTTGCTTTCCCCTGACAGGAAGGGGAACCGGTGCCATGGCGTTCCCGGCTTGACCGCCTGGGAACAATTCTGGCACCCCCACAGCCGTAGTTGTCAGAGAGGTCACTTTTGATTACTTGGTTTTGCAGGTTGCAAAAGATTTAGTCAGGTGGATTTCGCAAAGGTGTTTACCATTCTTTCACGGGCTGCCTTTCACAAACCAAAGGACAGAAGAGTGGGAAGAGAGTATGAGATCCTTCATTTGTGTCCTCTTCCAGAAGTGCCACAATTTGCCGAATGCCTCCTTTAACCCAAGAATACGTATAGTCTTGACCAACTGTGAGGGGCTTTGCCGTTCGCTGCTTTTAAACTTAGAAACCACATACGTTGACAAACACACGTACACACACCTTTTCTGGCATTCTCAAGCAGGCTGTGCAAGGTCCAGTGCACTTAAATGAGCAAATCTAAAATAATTATTTGAACAATTAAGCAAGTCCGTTTATCCGGCCGCAGCGTCCTTGACGTTCATTTTGCTAGGTGTATCCTCTTCCTAAAATAAAGCAGGCCCACCGATATAGACAAGCCGTTCATGGCAAAACTTTCTGACTACTTCGCGATGGGTGCAGAGAAAACTCTCTTTTGGGAAGAATGGAATTCCTCTTCGTCACTCTTGGGTCAACGTTAGGGAGGGTCAAGGTGAGGAATGCCATATCTCAGAAAGGATGTCATGGGCTAAAGGCGCGGTCACCCGTTGCTTCGGGTAAAACTGAGGTTAAAGTTAAACTGAAAGATTTCCTGGTGTAGTCAGCAGCTCACATGCCACCTATCCCATGTTTCTCTACAGAGGACAGAGTCTGCATTCTCAGTAGAGTTTTACAGGTGTCATATCTGAAAGCTTGGCTGAAGACAACTGTAGACCACCCTAAATAAACATCTCAGCCCAGAATAAACACTCAACATTACCGTCTTAGAGTAAAATCAACTTTTCCGGTCAAGTTTTGCATTTCCGTCTCTGAATTAATGTAACTGTCAATCTGTCAAGTAGCTTTACACACACACACACACACAGAGAGAGAGAGAGAGAGAGAGAGACAGAGACAGAGACAGAGAGAAAATCCTCAGGATAGGGCTAGCTTTTTCCTGGAACTTAACAGCAAATCTCAACTTGCACATCTCAACAGACATGTAGGAAGCAGAAGACTTAGCCGTACTTACTTGACGGTAACTCGATTAGATAAATCCTGAAGGTCACCAGGATGAAAAAGCTGAGCTTCTTTTAATCCAAGGTTTTCACAGGCTTTCAAAAAGACGTTGATATTATCCTGCGAAAGAGAAGCAGAAGAAGGCGGCTACTTAGTGAAGGAGCGTGGCAGAGAGCGTGCAGGTCTCAAAAGTCCAGCCTGTGGTCCTCAGGATCACAGGTGACAAGGAACATTTCCTGTAGCTCTGGAAGCCACTCAGGAGCTGCTTTGACTGACAGGCACGTTAAAGATTAGCAGGTAAAAAAAAAGGCAACCCGGGCTGGCCAGTGAGGAGCAGCGTCCCCCTCGGTGTCAGCTCTGCAAACAAACGCCCTCTTTTTCTTTTTTTTTTTTAAGCTTTGCATGACAAGCCTCACCTCTCACATTTAAAAATAACTCCGGCTGCTGACATTCACCCACCCAGGAATGGTTGGCAACGGAGGAGCGAAGGAGGAGGAACTCTTGTTTCTATGCCACCGAGGATTGCAGAAAGCACCACCTGCGAGTGGGTTTTGGTTACCGAGGATGGGGGGAGGGGAAAAGAGAGAGAGAAAGAGAGAGAGAGAGAGAGAGAGAGAGAGAGAGAGAGAGAGAGAGAGAGAGAGAGAGAGAGAGAGAGAGAGAGAGAGAGAGAGAGAGAGAGAGAGAGAGAGAGAGAGAGGGCGAGGCAAGAGCAAAGACTGAGCAGAATCTGCAGTTTCACTGGGCAAATTAGGTGTGGCTGTGCAGGGATTCGTGCCACCTGCTCCAGGGAGAGCTTACCTTGAACCCTGCAGAGAGATGGAGGAAAGAAGGTTCTCCTTGGCTGGGAATGCCAATTAGTCTAACTCTTTAGCCTAATTCTCTGAGCCTTCCCCCCTCCCAAATGTTCAGATCTAGATTCTAAACACTGGAGAAAACAACACTCTGGGTAAGGAAGCACGCCCAACTAGGAAACAAGCAGTCCAGAAATGGGGTGTTTCCAAGTTAACTCGGCTCCCCCAAAAGTTGGGCTATTTTTCCAGTCGGGCTGAATTGCAATTCAGAACATCCTCCGGCATTCTCTCCTTCCTGGCTTTGGCTGGCCAGCTGGGGCAGAGGGAAGCCCCGTTTAGCAATTTTTGAAAAATGGCAAGCATTCCCACGTGTCCGAGGGGGCTGGAGAGGGGTGGGTGGAGGAATGGAAGCTCTCTCATCCTCCAAGCACAAGAGGATAAGACTAAAACTAACCATGCTCTGGATTCAATATCCCTGACTCTGGAAACAAAAAAGAGCTCTTTTCTAGGACAGCTGGGGATTATAACACTAAAAATTACCATTTGTTTCCGCAGTCCAAAAAAATTTGTATTTGTCCTATTTCCATCCTACTTTGTGGGCTGAGAGTGTGTGAGGGTTCAAAGTCCATGGCGAAGGGTAGGTTGGAGTTTTGCTTATAAACAGGTTTACACTGGGCTGTAATAACTCCAGCAGCCTTTGCTCCCTGGCACAGCATGTGGCTAAGCTGGGCAGGTGCCCAGGATGCTAATTCTTTTGGGGGATCAGCACACTCCCACATGGCTTTGGGGGTGGCCATACCAAAGGGCTGCCCACCCACTACTGTTTGTTCTGCAAACATCCTGGAAATTCCTGAATTCCAGAATGTTTTCGCTTCTGGTGCTCAAGCTTGGCTTCAACCAGCAATCCATCGAACCGCTGCCGATAATTATTGGATCACTGGAGAAAGCAATCGTGTGTGGAAGAGTCAGTGGTAAAAGGAAACCAGGCTGCCAAAGAACACGGTGTCTGAACACCATCAAAGCTGACACCAACCAGAGCATAGAAGAACTCAAAGAAGTAGTGCAAGATCAGAAGATAGGGAGAGACTTGGTTGATGGAATCACCAAGAGTTGGACACAACTGGATAACATCATCAACAACAACTATTGGGTCACTCATTCCATCTGGCAGCCTCGGTGCTTCCCTTCCTGAGTGCCGTCTTCCCCTCTGAATTATGCACCCTTCTATTCTTTCTCGCTCGTAAGGTTGTAGGTACCAAGGCATATAGCTGCATTTACACAATATAGAATAATAGAGTTGGAAGGGACTTTGGAGGACTTATAGTCCAATCCTCTGCTCAGGCAGGAGACCCTATACCATTTCAAATAAGTGGCTGTCCAGTCTCTTCTTAAAAGCTTCCAGTGATGGAACACCCACAACTTCTGAAAGCAAGCCAGTCCACTGGTTAGGAAGTTTCTCCAGAATTATAGGTTGCTTCTCTCCTTCATTAGTTTCTATCCATTGCTTCTTGTCCTGCCTTCTGTTGCTTTGGAAAATAGCTTGACTCCCTCTTCTTTGTGGCAGCCCCTCAAATATTGAAACACTGCTATCATATCACCCCTACTCTTTCTTTTCTCCAGACTAGCCAGACCCAATTCCTTCAACCGTTCTTTATATATCGTTTAGTCTCTAGGCCCTTAATCGTTTTAGTTGTTCTTCTCTGCACTCTTTCCAGAGTCTCAACATCTTTTTTTATAATGTGGTGAACAAAACTGGATGCAGTATTCTAGAGGGGGTCTTACTAAGGTTTTATATAGCGGTGCTCATACTTCACGTGATCTTGACTCTTATCTTTCTTTTTCCAGCTTTCCTCAGCTGGGCAGGATCCATTTGGAAGAACGGAAGCAATCCAGGAGAGGCAGAATTACCCCCCTCCCCTGACTTCGAGCAGTCTCGAGTCCAGTAACTAAATCACTGGACAATTTATTAATTCTTTTGATTTTGCAGAAAGATGCAGCACTGTTTGCACAAAAGGAACCCAAATCATGAGAAAGGCATGTGAGAGACAGGACATGTTATGCAGTAAGTATTTTTTTAAAAAATAAATAAATAAAAATAAAAATCCTGGCCTGCACTCAATTCCAGCTGAGCAACGCTTGAGTTGGCTGCTTTTTGCACTTGCTTAAGCAAAGGGTTGGGCGGGAATCACGTCATCAATGCGAGTTCTGGAATGTGGTATCAAACCACTGACATCACCCTTCTGCTCTTTAGCTAGGCAGCACTGCAAGCCTCTTTAGCAGGTTGCTCAGGAATGGGAAGAGGGAAAGAGTGTGTAAACAGGTGTGAGAAAGGGATAAATCACAGTCTATACCAGGATTTGATCCTGTAGCACAGATGCTGGATTTCTTTTCTGTCTTGATTCACGCACTCATTCTTCTACTTGAGTTTCAACAGGGCTAAAAGCTAGACAGGAAGGAGAACGAGTCGTAATAGCTGTGAATTAGTTAGTAGATGTAGGCCCTACCAAATTAAAACCTTTCAGTCAGTTATACAAACACTTCTCTTCAAGCATTTATTCTTGCCACTTCAAGTTGTTTCAGTGTTATTTTTCTTAATTCTTAAAACTTCAACAGCACACCCCTGTAGCTTGTAATAACTAAGCGCTACACAATTATAGCCAAAAAAAAAAATCATATCATTGTAATAACAGGAACACTGATGAATACCGGATAACAAATAAGCCAAATCAAAATATTACAGTTGGATTGGGTCGTTTTCCCCACTAAATATCATACAGCAGTTAATTTATAGTTTATATACGAAGTGGATATATTTGCATATTATGCATATATTAGGTGTATTGGTATGCCCTATTCACTAAGAATAAATATAGTATTTTTCTTCTTCTTCAAGAAGATCAGAGTATAATAAATTATGAACATGGACAATGAAGTTTTTTTCTCTTTCTCTTTTTTCCTCAAATCTAGTCAAAGAAGGAAATCAGGGACAGAGTTTCGTGGGAGGTAGATACGGGATTACTCAGCACAATTTTGTTCCATTACTCAACAGTTGTCGTGGAACTGAACAATCATAACCTCCTATTTACCTTTGATATGATTTGATTTTTTTTTCCTGATTCTTGGGATAGTCTTTGTAATACTCACAGCCTATTCGTGGCTCTGGATTATCAGCAGTCTAAATTTCATCATGTAACCACGAGATTTCTCCATCAAAAAGGAGATTAAATCCTTGTCATATGAATTCATTTCACGGCCTTTCAAGAAAATGTTCTGAATCCTAAAGGAAACCATATGATGTACCAAACTAAGTCCTTTAATTAACAAAAATCAAGAAGTTGAATATTGTCTGTCTGTCTGTCTGTCTATCTATCTATCCAATATTTCCTATCTCTCATCTGTCTGTCTGTCTATCTCTCATCTCTCTCTCTCATCTCTCTCTCTATCCATCTCTATCTATCTATCTGTCTGTCTGTCTGTCTGTCTATCTATATCTTTCTCTCTCTCTAACTCTCTATCTATCTATCTATTTATCTATCTATCTATCTATCTATCAGCATATATATATATATGCTTTTCTAATAAATAATAATAGAAATAGAAATAGCAAGTAGACTTATATACCACTTCGTAGTGCTTTACAGCCCTCTCTAAGCAGTTTACAGGGTCAGCCTATTGCCCCCAACAATCTCATTTTACGGACCTTGGTACAATGGAAGGCTGAGTCAACCTTGACCCAGTCAGGATCGAACTGCTGAAGTGCAGTCAGCCAGCAGTCAGCAGAAGTAGCCTGCTGTACTGCATTCTAAGCACTGTGCCATCACAGCTCATAAGAGCAAATACTTAATTGATTAATAAAATGACTCCAAAATATTTTCATGGCGATAACTGTGAAACCTTGCAGGTATACTGTATATGTCGCCGAGTATCTGCAATTGTATGAAAGTTACAGATAGTCTTGATATTCTTCAAGCAACTGAAATTCTGTTAGTCCTCGACTTTAACAACGGTCCATTTAGTGACCGTTCAAAGTTACAACAGCTCTGAAAAATGTGACTTAGGACCGTTTTTCACACTTATGACCATTGCAGCATCCCCACAGTCAGATGATCAACATTCAGACACTTGGCAACTGGTTCCTATTTATGACGGTCGCAGTGTCCCGAGGTCACGTGATTCCCTTCTGGGACCTTTTGACAAGCAAAATTAACCTGGAAGCCAGGTTCACTTAACAACCACTTTACTAACTTAACAACTGCAATGATTCACTTAACAACTGCGGCAAGAAATGTCGTAAAGTGGGCCAAAATACATAATAAGAAATGTCTCACTTAGCAACGTAATTTTTG